GCTGTGCTAGAAAATAAAAGTTTGCAAAACTAACTAATTTAAAGAGTCCATTTTAAGGACATGGAATTATTGTTTATATAACTGTTGCCATTCTTTTAAACTAAGATTAAGACCTGGATAACCTTTGTGCCTTGGTCTTTGAAGGGATTTTACTGTTAAGTTAGAAGCTATTAAAAGGGAATATCAACTCAAATCACATTTTACAAAAAAATAAGAACAAGTAATCATGAACATTCTGAGCATAGAAGTTCCTCTGCCTTAGACATATGACCCAATACTGAATGATAAAATAATACATCCCAGAAAGACCAAAATAAGGAAGATAAAAGTACCCTATGAGTTATTCACTAAGCAGAAATTAAAATATGATCATTTCCAGTGTCTTCTGTTGCAACAACAGTAAACTATGCTACTAAGTTGAATTAAAGAATATGGCAATTACTACCTCCAGCAATATGGCATGGTGAAATCCTAGTACAAAATGAAAAGCGAACGCACTATGTTGTGCAATAGGAGATAAAGCCTAGGCCTCAGGATGGACACAAGTGGTGTGTGTGTGTGTGTGTGTGTGTGTGTGCACTCACACATGTGCATGTGTGTATGTGTGTGTGTGTGTGTGTGTGTGTGCACTCACACATGTGCATGTGTGTGAGAGAAAGACATACGCAGAAACAAAAAGAGACACACACAGAAACAGAATTGAAAAAAGGGAGAAGAGAGAGACAGAAACAGAAAAAGAGAGAGAGAATCAAGAACTCTGCATGAAGTCAATAATTTGTAAAGCCAACATATTTGGTGGGTAAAATGAAAAGAAACTTTGCTCCACAGAGTCAGGCTGTAGGTAAAGTTGTCTATCTTGGCCTTGTATCTACAAGAAACTAACAAATAAAGGAACAGCCATTTCTGTCTATTCCTAATTATGGGGCTGAATTCCACTTGCTTTAGAGCTAAAACCCTTAATATGCAAGCAGTGTCTCTTTTGCTCCTAAGTACCCAAGCCCAACATTTCAAGTAATCTGAGTTTGATAATGAGATTAGCAGTCAGACAAAAATGAACACAAATTCTCTCTGGAGGGATGAATTTTAAACCCAGATCTTAAAATTTTTCCTGAGACAAAATTCCAAGGAACAGGGCTTAGTAATCAAGCCATAGCAAGTAGAAGCTAAATGAAAAAATAAATTATGGACTCAGATCCACAGGATATAAAGTATGTTTGCTTAGTATTGCTAAAGAAATGAAAGATAATATTGTGTGTATGCCGAAGGAACAAGATGTTCTAAAAAATGACTAAGTAGAAATGAAGAACTGAAAGAAATTCTCAAACAACAGAAAGCAATCATTGAACTTCAGAAACTCCATGAAATGGAAAATTTGGAAGCTGACAAGTTGGAGACATCTTGTCTGAAAACTGACTATCAGAGATTACATAAAAAGAAGTAGATTGGATAGCTCTGAAGAAGGAAACTAACAAACTCATAATGTCTCAGGGAAAATGAAGCCTGTCATGAACTAAATGTGTGAGACAGATGTAGTTGGAGACAAAGTTTATAGACGTGTAGGAGTGCTGGCCACTGTCATGGGAGAATGAGAGGTTGTTTCAAAAGTTTTGCTTTGTCCCTACCTCCAATCCCCCAATCAACTGTCCCACTCACATGGCTCCATTACGGGGTAAGCACAACAGTGAGATGTGGTGACTGCATATTATGGAATACTGTGCTTCATTTAGGAGTAAAGAGCAAATACTCATGGAGCATTTTGGATATCTATTCTATCTATCATCTATCTATCTATCAATCATCTACCTATCATCTACCTATTTTTTTGGTGCTAGTCCTGGGGTTTGAACTCAGGGATGGGCGCAGCTCCACTTCTGGCTTTTTGGGTAAGTTAGTGGAGATAAAAGTCTCACAGACCTTCTTGATCAGGCTGGCTTTGAACCATAATCCTTAGACCTCAGCCTCCTGAGTAGCTAGGATAACAGGTGTGAACCACTTGCACCTGGCTTGGCTGTATATTTTTAAAACAGAAAGCTTCATAAAAAACAGAAAGGCTATGCTTTGTAGATAATATATTTATGAAAGTTAAAAACAAGTGATGCCAAGATGATTATATATATATATATATGTATATATATATGCATACAAATAAAATGCACATATCAAGCACTTTACATTGCTTGATAGTAAGGGCTATGATGTTAAGTTTTAGCGAAGAAATAAAAAGTAAGCCAAGGGACCTTGCTTAGACCAACTATAATTGTATGCCATGAACTGAAGAGAACAAGAAGTAGAATTACCCAGCTCCCAAGCCAAAGTAAAGGTTAAGAAAGAAAAGAAGAAACAAATTCAGTATTGAGTAAAAAAACAGATTAGGTACCTTATACACAAAAGAAACTGAAATAAACTAAACTAATTACCTTTGATATAAGTTAGAAACAGAAAACACAGTAAGAAAAGATCATACAATTGACGCCTACAAAGATATGTAATATAGGGGCAGAGTCAGGTAATGTTCAGGGAGAATGGATGCCAATATTCCATACTCAAAAGATGTCCTTCTCAGAGACTTCAGAATCATCATGTGACATGTATATATATGACAAAAAGAAACTAAGGATTTTAAAAATGAACAGAACATGTTAAAGGAGTAAGAGAGAAGAAGCAAACTGGACAATTAAATTGACTAACATCTAACCCATCAATAACATGAAGGGAAGCATGAAGAATATGCAGTATCTTCCATATGCTACGAAGAAGTAACTATCAACCCAGACTTGTACACGCACCTATCCAACTTCTGGTATTTACCCAACAGCCTGGAAATCACTTGGTAAAAGAAATGTTTGTACTCCATGTTCATTGCAACACTGTTTTACATTAGCCAAGTTATGGAATCAGCCTCAGTGTCCAACAGAAGAATATCTGAATTCAATATGCTGTAGAGCTACAATGGAATACTAGCCACACCCGAAGAAAATTCTAATGTTTGAGACATTAGATGTGATTGGAGAACATTATCCAAAATTAAGAAAAAAAAGCCTGGCACTGAAAGACAAATACCACATATTTCTGCTTATGTATGAATGTAAAATATTTAAATTTGTAGAAGCAGGGAGTAAGATGGTGCTTGCAGAAGTAGAAGAGCATGAGAATAGGATGATGAGTCAAAGAATACAAAATCTCAATCAGGAAGACTCTTTTTTTCTTTCTTTCCTTTCTCTATGAGTTCTGTTGCAGTGAATAAGATTAATAATAGAGCTATATGTTTTAAAATTGCTAAGAGAACACATTTCAAATGCTCTTAGACTTAAATTATAAACATGAAAACATAGGATCATATGCATATATAGGTATATATTATATATATATATATAAACATGTTGACTCAAGTATGGTACATACAGGGTAGGATTTCAATGTCGATCTGTTTCAAGCTACTAACTTATAGTTCAACAAAATGAATACCAGGAAGCTGAAACATGTATTATCAGAAGGGAGGCTGCTCAAGGAGAAGGAGAGCAGATGAATGGAGAGAGGAAGAGTGGGTGAATACATCATAGCATTCAACATATATATGTGAAAATGAAACAGGTAACTTGACTGGATGGGACCAATGGGGGAGAACATGAAAGGGGTAACATTGATGGAAATGCTTTGTACTCATAACTTGACATGTTGAATTAAAGAGTTAAGAATTTGAGGTGATGGATATGTTATCTGACTTTATTTTAGGATTTCACATTGTATTCACAAGTCATACCATCACTTTGTACCCTGTAAACATTCAATTATAAATGGTCTCTTTGCAATAAAAAGGGAAAGAAGATAAAGACCTCCTCAATCAGGTAAAACCAAAATACCAGTATACATACATGTGGACTAGCTCAATGCTCAGAGCATGTACTTCAGGGAGGAGAAAATAATGCTAGACTGCCTTATTTAATTACTAAATACCGTAGGAGAAGCATTTAGTAATTTAAAATTCATTTCTTGTTTTTAAAGCAAATTTCTGAATTATTAGAGTTTCCAGTCAATGCAGCAGGTACTAACTGGGTGAATTACTTGCTGTGTCTCTTTATATACTGTATTGTTTTTTTACACCAAAGTCAAATTGGCTTAGTAAGCCAATATTAGAGATCTTTAGCCAGGTGCTGGTGGCATAGGGCTATAATCCTAGCTACTCGGGACGTGGAGATCTGGTGATTGCAGTTAGAACTCAGCCTGGACAGAAAAGTCTACGAGACTCTTATTTCCAATAAACTACTCAGAAAAACAGGAAGTGGTGTAGTGGCTCAAGTGGTAGAGAGTTAGACTTGAGTACAAAGAGGCTCAGGGAAGGCACCAAGCACTGAGTTCAAGCCCCAGGATAGGCAAAAGAAAAAAGAAATTGGACTCAAAGTGCTTCACTGTATCATATGAAATTATATTGTATTACATAATGCCATACTCCAAAATAATGCAAATGAATTCCAAGTGTAAAAGGTAAGATGAAAAGAACAAACACTGTTATCTAGTGTCCCAGGTTTTATAAATGGAAACATTTAGGACAGCGTTTATTGCAATACTGACATACCTCTTACAGTTTATACTAAAGCCAAATGCTACAGTGAATGCTGAAATGATTTCAACATTTGGTCCTGTAATAAACCTAATCCTAATGTCTAGGGCAATGGCAGAATTGGTGTTTTCTTATACACTAAATCTTATCAGCATCTAACATGAACATGAGAGGTCTTATATAACAAGAAATTTTGTTCTATTGAGCCACAGTATACAAAGTAATAAAAAAACATTTATGGATGATTAAATGTGGAAGTGAAGTCAAAACATTTAATCTGCTGCAAAACTCATTTAATGCAAACGTGCCCCAGCAATATAGATATTATTGATATTATAGTTGAAGGGAACATTTTCATATAGTGTAGCTCACAGAAATTTAATTTCCATCTTTGAGAATTTAGAACTTGTTAGTCTAGGTCCATTTCTAACACATTTTTCCCCCAGTGGTACATAAAATGTACTTTTACATATTAGAGAAGAATTTGAGTGACTTAAAATTCTCCCATTGCCAAATTTATGGCTGAGAAGTTGCACTTATTAAACCAAGTGAAAAATCACACTAAGTGGAAGCTTTCAAAAGCTATTTTGAACTTCAAGGTGATTCTGAGGATCATTTTAATGCCGCCATACTGCTTTAAGTTTTGTGACCATGTACAAAATAGGACTGACCTCAGATAAAATATAAATTGGCACTTCTAAAACAAATATGCACACCAATAACATTTGGAGAAATGAAGAACAGATAAGCAAGTTTATGACAGGCTCATTCCTGCAGATTTCATTTCCCTCTTTCTGTTTCTCTAAGCTTTTGCCTTATACCTAAAGGAAACATCAGATTCCGGATATTGAATACCTAACAACAAACGGCTGTGGTTTTGTCTTAGAGGTTGGTTGTCAAGTATTTCAAAATCAAAATATGTTAAAAATAAAAACAACAGAAGCTTTATTTCAGCAATGGCTAGAAATCGGCCTGGACATTTGTTGGCTCCAAACCCAAAAGGCATTATGTAGAATTTCAGCTTCTTCCCTCTTTTGAAAAAGGTAGTTTTCTTCTTACCACCATCAACAAAGCGATCAAATCTAAATTCCTATAAAGAAGAACAAACAGTGTTAGTTTTATTTGAAGCCAAGGGCCAGTGGTTTATGCCTATAATCTTCACTACTCCGTAGGCAGAGATCTGAGAATGGCAAAGGGTTCAAAGCCAGCCTGGACAAGAAGGTCTGCAGATCTTTATCTTCAATTAACCAGCAAAAAGTCAGAAATGAAGGCATAACTCAGGTGGTAGACTGCCAGCTTTGACTATAAAGGTAAGAGAGAATATCCAGGCCCTGAGTTCAAGCCCCAGTACATAACCGCCCCCTTCACCCCTAACACACAAAGTTTTATGTGAATAGTTTGAGTTCAGATCTAACAAGTTGCCAGGTCTCCCTTCCTGTTTTCAAAAGCATCAGAGAAACAAAAATTGATTATGTGTATAACACATGTGAACTTAGAAAACTAACAAACCCTCAAATGCTACCTGGAAATGATTTCTCCATATACAAGTAAAATCTAAACACCTAAGTGACTTCTTTTCTGTCTTTCTATTTCTTTCCTAGTGATTTAATTTTCTGTGGCTATCACAAAATACTTGATACTGGGAAAATTATAAAGAAAAGGGGTTTGTTTTGGCTCAGGATTCTGGACTCTGAGATGCCCAAGATACAGTGCTCATAAGGAACTTGTACTGCTTCATTTCATGGTGGAAAGAAAAAAGACAATTGTTTGTTGAATAAAATTTACAGGAGAATTTGGAACTTGTTAGACTGTCCATTGTATTTTATTCATATACTCTGTTGAGTATAAACATACAAGAGTATGTTTATGCAAGAGGAAAAAGTGTATCTTTAAGTGATAGTTATAGTTGCAGACATGGCTCAAGTGGTTAAAGCATTTGCCTAACAAGATTGAGGCCCAGAGTTCAATTTCCAATACTGCTAAAGCAAACCATCAAAGAAACAAACACAAAATAAGCCCAAAGAACAAAAAACAATAGTTAAACTCTTGAAGAAAACATATTGAATGAGAAAATAAACATGTAGAGAATGAGAAGTAATCAAATATTCATTGCTTCTGAACAGTACAACGGTACAATATTGAAGACTTAAAATTAAGATTAGATACGAAGACCATTTTGTGGATAAAGAATACGTTTTTTATATATGACAGAAGATGATTGCATAAGATCTTAACTCATGTTTTTCAAATACTATGTTTAGTTCAGTTCAATATGGCTTTTTTTTTTTAGCACTTCCGGCATGGCATAAAACTTGGTTCTGGTATACTATATGAATGTTATGTCATACACTCAATTCATAATCTGATTGTAGGAAACCAAATGAGACAAAAGATCTGACTCTATGATTCCCTAATAATAGACAAAATCTGCCAGTGTTTTGAAGGGATGACTAAGGAGCTGCACTGTTGGATCTGGCTCAAAGTCCTTGTTGACAGCCAGATGGCAAAGTACAGAATTCCCTCCCTATCTCCATGACTAGGGGTCAGATCAGTTGTGAGCTGTAGCCAGCTAGTGGAAGCTTGTGAGGAATTGTGTGCACTTCTTCTCAACTCTATGTTCAAGGGCATCCCATTCAGTAACATTAATTCACCAAGGATGGTAGTATGGACGTCATGAAAGTGGAAAGACATCCATCTCTGGTTTCAGTATGTTAGGTATGTGGTATCAACGTATTACGGCTTAAACCTTTTCACATGAAGAATCTGGCTATAAGAAGACAGTTAGAAGTCCTAGTCGCTGTACTGTAGGCCTTTAAGTCAAGGTACTTTTTATTCCCGTGTATCCATCATGTCTCTTACAGTGCCTTGGATTTAGTAGAAGCTCCAAGCATATTTCCTTCTTCAAAGTCGACTGATGAACATCTCTATTCCAATTTGAGATCTAAGCAAGTTTATTTGGATATAATTAGTCTATTCCAAGAATAATGATAATAATCAACATCAATAGGCTGATTATTCTAGTAAGTTTTAAGACTTTTTTAAAAGGCCTTTTACATTCATTTATCATTATGTCCTAACTCTATTCTATTATGTCCTAACTCTGAAGAGTAGCTAGCTAGGGCAGAACTTCCTCCAATTATCAAGACCTTTAACTACGGAACATGTGGGGGAATACTTCAAAGATTGTTCTCTCTCCCTCTCCCTCTCCTTCTCCCTCTCTCTCTCTTTCTCCCTCTTCTTCTCGCTCTCCCTCTCTCCCTCTCTCCCCCCCCCCCCCCAGTGCCAGTACTAAGACTTGAACTAAGGCTTCACACACTCACTTTGCGTTTTCATTCAAGGCTGGCACTTTATAACTTGAGTCACAGCTCCACTTCCACCTTTTTGCTTCTTAATTGGAGATAAGAGTCTCACAGATTTGTGGCTGAATAGGTGTTGAACTATGATCCTCGGATCTCAAATCTCCTGCATATCTAGGATTACAGGTGTAAGCCACCAGCATGTGAATGGCTGTGCTTCTTCACATGAGGTGGTAGCACAGTTATAACATATTGTCACCTTAATGGTGGCTCTCTATTCTCTATAGTCCAATAATGTAGCCAGGACTTACTTTATTCCTTCGCCCTTCTAGACCTAGAAAAGTGACCAAGTTTGGTCTCCATAGCTCCAGTTCACTGCATTTTGGCAGAAAAGAAATCATCATTCACTTGTGATTATTTGATAATCATTTGCATGATTTCTAGACAATAAAAGAGGTAAGTTTGAAGAAGACCTCAGAAAAAAATTAAAAACCCTACTTATTCGCTACTAGGTAATAAATAGATTAGTGGTGCTGCCTGGAGAAGCTTGTAAAGCTCTAGACAGAGAAGAAAGCAGCATCAAGAGGGACTGTTTCCTTTTCTCTAACTCACTGTAAACTTCATTTTGCCAGTGTGTTTTCACACATAGGCAAAAGCCACAAGAATGCTGAATATACAATAAGCTAAGCAATCAATATTCAAAAAATGAATCATCTTTAATACAGAAGTAACATGTTGTTAACCTGTGAGAAAATTAGATCTCAAACATTTTTCTTTTTTCTTTTTGGCAATACTGAGATTTGAAATCAGAGCTTCATACTTAGCAAGACTGGTACTGTACCACTTGGGCCATGCCTCCAGTCCAACTTTTTGCTTGTTATTTTGAAGATGGAATCTAGCAAACTTTTCTACCAAGGCTGACTTGAAACCATGATCCTCCAGATCTTAGTTTCCTGAGTAACTAAGATTATTGGCCAGTTCAGAAAGTATCTATTGAACTTAAATGCCTCCTGGAGTCTCTTTTTACTGTAATTCATACTACCTCAATAGTATTATTGTATTTATAGATGACCCACTGCTTTATGTGGCCATTTTATATCCAGTCCCTATTTGAGTATTATCTGTCCTGATTTAAAGCTTTAACCACACTGTATTGCACTTTCAGTCCCTGATTCGATCAACTTTGATGGATAGCGTCCTGTCTTGTGTGGAGGACATTGAAACAAGGATGCACCACCACAGTATATGTGCAGGTGACAGCGTGGGCAGCGGCAATTACCCAGGAACAGGGTGGCATTCAGGGACACCATCAAAGAAGAGATGGTTAAGGGTAATTTTGGAGGAATAATTTGGAACTGGCTGAGCAAAAAATAAAATCATTTCAGGAATAGAGATGCATGTGCCAAAGCCATGAAGTATGAAGGAAAATCATAAGCTGTGGTGGAGTGCAATAGTCTAGAGTTCATTAGAGCTCTGACATTCAGAAGACATGCCTCATGAGGTTGAAAGAAACTATGTTCTGCTAAGGCTCTTCAGCTCTATGTCTTTCAAGAGCATCTGTGACTGCATTCTGAGTTAGTCTTTCACATAGTTTTGCCCAAATAGCTACATCCCAGGCCTTATCAATCCATTCAAAGTCTATAGGGTAATAGTCAGGAACACAAGGCTCTGATGCACATTTGGGCTAGTGTTCCCAATGACACATGGCATAGGATAGGATTTTCTAGAATTTTCTTTTCTTCTTTACTATCAGTACATGATGTTTTGGTGATGGGGCATCTATTAAGTGAATATCTACTGCATCACTGCTAACTAAAACAAAGAATGAAAGAAATCCATGATCAACTCGTATGTGATTAGTCACTATTTTCACAGAATGAATAATCAGAGCAGGCCAAGTCATATAACTATGACTCCAAATTGTGTCGTGTCTTCTGTGCTAGGAATTATCAACATCGCACATTGAATTTCAAGGAAACAATGCTGTGACAAAAATTTAGCTAGCTTATTCTAGCATTAGTGCAGCATAATTGTTAATATAAAATCTAGGACATAATTGAGAGTGTAAAATCAGTATTCACAATACTACAAATTTTTCTCTTCTGAGAGTTAGAGGTAAATGCTTCTTATTACTATTAAGATTAGT